CCTCCATCATCCTCCTCCTCCTCCTCCTCCTCCTCCTCCTCCTCCTCCATCCTCCTCCTCCTCCGCCTCCTCCTCCATCCTTCTCCTCCTCCACCTTCTCCACGTCCACCGCCTTGGAGCCGTGCCCTTCACGTCCTCCCAGAAGGCGGGGAAACGTAAGACTCGAGTAAGCCGGATTTCGGGTTTGCCGACTTGTTTGACGAGCGCGTCCTGGATTTAGGCGGTCTGATTTTCGCGGGATGCTCGCGGCGGGAGCTCGGGTCAAGTTTCAGATTGGGCTTCTTCATTTTCATGATGGCCCCGTCAGGCCAACCCGAGTTCGCCGTACACGAGTCTTACGTCACCGCGAAGATGGGGTCCGAGTACATATGGGATCGGAGGATCGCGCAACGCCGAGGCATTGGCTATGCGGCTCGATGTGAAGCAGGATTTTCTCCACGCCGATGTCGCCGATGCATCGCCGACGTCGACGATGCGTCGCCGATGCATCGGCGATGCGGCCCGATCCTCTGAGTCCATCTGCTCGGACCCTGGCAGCGCCTCTCTGAACGCCATCGAAACGGAGAGCGCCTCTCTGAACGCCCTCGAAACGGAAAGAGCGGGGACGAAGACGGACAGCAGCTCTTGTTCATTTTTCGCAGGATTCGTTGTCGGTGTCGCCGCGGACGTTGTCCATCTGGGCGGCGGTAAGACAAACGGGTCCCACTGCGCTGACATTTGCGCGCCAGCTGCGGGCGTAAGGTCGCGCGTCAGCGCCCTCGTTTCCAATGCAGCGTGCCGCGCTGGCGGCCCGCGTAAGCCGGCACGTAAGGTCGCTATGACATTCTTGTGTAAGACCCGTGTCTGTTCATTGCTCACCTGAGACAGAAGGTCGCCTGCCCAACGGCAGCCGCTGTCGCATGTGGAACACGCTTGGCGCTGGGCATCGTGACCGTGTGCTCCGCAACCAACTCGGGCGTCCAAACTCTCGAGGCGTGGCCCCCATGAAGTCGCCCCCCCGTGAATCCGCGCCCGGCCCACGGCCCTTGGCCTCCCGCCGGCAAGCCACGGGCCTGCCCCCCAGGGTGAAGTCGGGCCTGTCCCTCTACAGGGGAACTATTCAAAAATAGTCAAGAGTCAGTCAGGGGATTTTGTTTGTTTATTACCATTTTTGAGCATGTGTATCGCATGTTTTGTGTATTTTGAAATTTTTTCGTCCCAGGTCCCCCTGTAGGGGGACACGCCCGACTTTATCCCAGGGCCGCCACTGCCTCCGCGCTCGCCCGGCGCGTGCCTCCCCCCCCCGCCTGCTGCGCCTCGGGGCCCGGCTGCGGCCCCTCCGGGCCGCCACGCGGCCACGCGGGCCCGCCTGCCTTGGGCCGCCCTCGTTACGTCGGCTTGCCTTGCCTGTCCCTCTCCAGGGGGAATGCGCAAAAATGGTCAAAAAATAGTCTGGGGAATATGTTTCGAGTATTTTTCGACCATTTTGGATTATTTTTTGGGTACTGCTTTATTTTTCGTCGAAAATCGTTAAGTCGGCTTGCCTTGCCTGTCCCTCTCGGGTATGGCCAGGACACCGGGTAAGGGGACATGGTTACTGGTAGGGCCCTGGGGCCCCTCAATTGGCCAGAATCACTAAACCAGGTTTGCCGTAACTGGTGTTTTTTCGGGTGACTGCAGTTCCGGTTAGTGGGAATGGGACGGGGGGGGCTCCCCCGGTACAGATCCCTAAACCAGGTTCCACTAAACCCAGTTCTACCAACGCCCGACCCCCTACAGGGGAATATGCAAAAACAGTAGACACAATAGTTTGGAATATTTGTTGACCGGTTTGGCGTATGTTTTGAGCACTGTTGCATTTTTCGTCGAAGATCCCCCTGTAGGGGCACACGCCCGACTTAACAGTGGTGGCTTGCCGCCCGCCCCCGAGGGCGGGCCGGCGTCCGGCGCCGTCGCCGCTCCTCCCCGGGGGGGGGTCCAGGGCAGGGCTGCGGCAGCGGTGGGCACGGCTGCCTCCTGGCAGTGTCGAGTCGGGCGGGCATGTGTCCCTCTGCAGGAGGGACGTTCTCGCAAATGGCCGAAATCTAGGCTGGGGAAATGATTTGTCGACCAGTCTTCATGTTTTTGCTGGGGGCATTTGCTGACTGTCCATGTTTGAAAATCCGACTGTATGTAGGAGGACATGCCCGACCTAATGGCAGTGCTCCGAGGTGACCCTGGAGACCCCAGACGGCACGCAGGAGTTCGAGTGCCCCGAGGATCGGGCGGGCGGTAAGGGGGGGTGACCCTGGTGGGAGTGAAGAAAGGGCCCCCAAGGGGGCCATTTGGGGCCCCTCTTAGGCCCCTGCTGGTTCCACAGGGAGCCCCAAAGGGCCCCTTTGGGGCTTTTTTCTTCACCCCCCGTTCGGGTCTCTCCCCATTACCACCCGCCCAAGAGGATGTGTACATCCTCGACCAGGCGGAGGAGGAGGGCCTGGAGTTGCCCTACTCCTGCCGCGCGGGCTCGTGCTCCAGCTGCGCC